TATTGACCATTTTAATGACACCCTCCGACGTGTATTTGCTGGGTAATCACTAAACACCACTGTAAACCATTGGTCCTCAATGGGTGGTTGGAATATTTTGCTGGAAATGAAACCATTAAAAAAATAGCTATCACAAGCACCCATGGAACCTATCCTCAACTATTTGCTAAAAAACGCACCTATTACTGGGTTTTGTACTCTTTCTGATGCCACAAGAAAAGGCCAAAGACCTATCAAATGGAAAAGTGTGATCGATTTCGACTGTAGTAATTTTGGCATGTCACGGAGCTACGTTTAGCCTGGGTTATTACTGGAAGTAATGGAGAGTTTTAGATCCTGTGATTGACTGGTGACCAGTCCGGGGTATAGTCTGCCTTTTGCCCGATGTCAGCTGGGATAACTCACAGCTCCTTGTGACCCTGAACAGGTTATATAATGTAAGAGATGGATGGCTGGCCGAATTTGGAATGACATTAAGATGTTTTGCGATTGTATTTTGTGTTCAGTTTCAACTCTTACCATGTATAAATATAAACAGTTGGGGGGCATCAATTACTTTTTGTTTTGCTATTCACAGAAGCTATGTGGGAACTCAGGAAGCATCTGTACCAAACCAAAAAATGTAAATAGGAATGCATCCTTCATTTTTTTATGCAACATTCGATTGTGTACCTACATTGTGTTTCAACGTCAAAAAGTCTCCAAAGCGAGTGAACCTCTCCAGCTTGTCACCTTCATTAGTCAACCTGGACTTCTGAATATTCATAGATCCAAACTCAAGCTCATCTGAGCTGCATGTGGAATGCGGCGAAAGTGTTGCCTGGCCCAAATTATCGCGAGTGAGAAACCTGCTGACAGGCTGTTTGTACTTTTGACGCTGCAACAACTGTTGCACACAAGGCCCGATTGTGCGCTTTGGATTCTTTGTAATTTCCAAGACTGTTGGCATGTGTACAAAGCGGACACTTTGGTTTATTGGATTTGTCTGGGAAGGATTCCCCCCCCGAGCCCCTTCCCCCCCACTCCCATGTGACTCGCGATGTGTTGTCCTGCAGGCCGCATCGTTGACAGTGGACCTGTGCGGTGAAGACCACGAACCAGGCTACTGTGCCGTGAGCAACGTGGCCGTTCACACCGACTGGTAAGACAAAATCGCACACACATGCAAGCAGTTTTTTCTTCCGTCCACTCTTAAGTTCAACTGTATACACTAAAATTGGGTTGACACATCCAATTCCTAAGGCCCGGAAAACTCCACAAGTAATTATGGCGAAATCCAAATGAGTCCCCCCCGAGCCCCTTCCCCCCCACTCCCATGTGACTCGCGATGTGTTGTCCTGCAGGCCGCATCGTTGACAGTGGACCTGTGCGGTGAAGACCACGAACCAGGCTACTGTGCCGTGAGCAACGTGGCCGTTCACACCGACTGGTAAGACAAAATCGCACACACATGCAAGCAGTTTTTTCTTCCGTCCACTCTTAAGTTCAACTGTATACACTAAAATTGGGTTGACACATCCAATTCCTAAGGCCCGGAAAACTCCACAAGTAATTATGGCGAAATCCAAATGTTTGCTCGCACCTGTTATGATGTTTCTCCTGCTGTGTAGCATAGTAACTCACCCAAAAAAATTATAATTCAACGCACATTTCCCACCAGCGCACGCTAGCCGAGCGTTTGCCAAAGTTTTGACAGGAATTGCACGTATGCCGGTTGTCACTGTTTAACCAAAAACATTTTTGGCCTTTATTAGAGGGGCGTAAAATTATCCCGCCAATAACAGCGGCGGGAAAATTGCCGAGCACTCAAGGAAAGACTTAGCAGTGTAATTTTTGTGCGGCGTTAATGAGTTTTCCTTCATCCTGGCCCGGCCGGCTATTGTCTCGCAACAACTCAGAGTCGTCGTGCCGAGCGCCACGTCGGGAACAAGTGAGGTAACTGTAGAACCTCGCTTGGCTGAGTTCACTCGGGTTAATCATGGCCAAGTTGTCCTCAAATGAAATTAAGAAAACCTTTTTTTTCTTCTCGACAATATTTTTGTTCTAGTTTGAACGTGAGATCATTTGTCAGTCTGAAAGAACCTAACCCCTGAGAAATTTGGGTTGAAACGTGTTTTTTGTGTGATAGCAAGCTTGTGATTAAAATCACACGTGCATTTTTGTTTAAGTAATACAAGTTGTGATTTTATACAAACTCTGATACGGATTCCTTTTTGATAAACATCTTGTACTGGATCTCAATCTTGTACATTGGCGGTATGAAGGTATAATTGCATTTTTTAAAAAAAATCTAACAAGTAGAAGACACATTTTGCCCTTAGATGAAGACCAAGATTTTTAGGAGTTTTAGTCAAGACCATTTGAGACGACTTTGAGGGGTAAAGACCACATCTCGACTTGGGGGAGCGGAGACCAACAAAAGACCACCACTGAGGAGTTGATAATACATTATTTATTTTTTTTAGAATGAGTGTGCAAAGAATTCCATCAAAATTTTGACAAAGCTAACAATATCATCCAAGCATCAAAATGAACAGAATTCATACTTTAATGGTAAATTTAGGCACCTACTTTTGATCTGAATGGATAAATCAATAAATATATGTCCAGTATCAAACATATGCTCAAAAGATGGCATCCATGATTGGCGCACACCAGGTTAATGGAAAACAAAGGGGAGATGTTTTTTCCATCATTGCTCGTCTCCAAAACAAAGCAAATGGGGAAGATGTGGTCTCTGAATTTTTGAAGGACAGTTCTATTGATACTGATTCTGTGTTTTTTTTTTCTTTAATGCACAGCGACAATATGCCGACAATTAATTGTGGGTTTCCTTTGTGTGTGCAGGATCCTGGACGTGGAGCCCAATCGGCTGTCAGTTGGGGGCGTTAGGTCAATGGAGTCAGTCCTCCACCGGCGCGGTCAGATAGCCACCCATGACTTTGTCGGCTGCATCATGGAGTTGGCCGTCAATGGCCGCCCACTGGAGCCCAGTCAGGCGCTGGCATCGCACGGCATCCTTGACAGGTCTGCAACCCCACCCCCAACCTATCACCTCAACTCCCTTCAGTCCGAATTTCATCCTCTTGCCATCTTGTCCAGCTTGCTCCCATCTGTCTGTCTTCTCTCTCGCTGTGGGACATCTGCTCGGCTTTTACAGACATTCTCAAAAGCTGAGGGATACCAGAAACCGGGTGCAGATATTTATTTATTTATTTTTTTGGATGAAGTGAGGTCAAATCTTTTAATATGCTAATCATCCAGAACTTCTTTTCGAGAGCCCATCTGCCTCTTTTCCTGGAGATTCTTTTCGTCCCGTCAAACTGACAGATCTGATTGTCCTTCGTTTTTTGTTTTTTTTTAGATGCCCAAGACTGGAAGCGGCTTGCACCGCCAGCCCCTGCAGACACGGGGGCACCTGTTTGGACCACTGGTCTTGGCAGCAGTGCCAGTGTGTGGACGGCTTCACTGGCAAATACTGTGAGAAATGTAAGTCAATGTGCCTTTGAGGTGTCTTCAGAGCACACTTAATTACGCTTTCAAGATTATTAATGATTCCCCCTTTGTATGAGTCATTGTGTTGGTCATGACGCCAGCTGCCTCAGTCACAGCTTTGTGTCTTTAATTATAAAACTATCCAGACTGACGACTTACAATTGTAATGCCAATGATTTTTTTTTCCAGCGTCAAGCCGGAAATTTTCCGTCTTTGGCTCTAGTAACAGAGGCGCAACAGGGCTGTGACATTGCGCGTGGGAAACGTATTTCTGTATCGCAGGCTAACAAATGCGATGCATGCAATTTTGCAGGATGATGCTGTAAACGAGACCAGGAGTTTTGCTTCACCTGAAAGCAAATAGTTCATATTTAATGATGACCAAGACAGCTAGGATCATTCAAGACATTTCAAACTTTTGGCGACTGTTTCTGGACACGAAAGAAACAACACTGTGGACCTTCTTCCTTCTGTTCCAGAACCAAATAGTTTTGACATTTTTCAAATGAAGAAACAATTGGGGCTGCGATTAGCTGGCAAAAAGTTTAGGGTTTACCCCACCTATCTCCAAGTCAGCTGGGATAGGCTCCCTCTCATCAGTGATTTTCACGAGGAAAAATTCTCACGAAAATGGTTGGATTGATAAACATTTGGCCGTGCCTTTGTGATAAACTCGAGATTAATAGGCGGCATCAGCACCCTACTGCTCAAATTTCAAGGGTTTGACAAAGGAGCCTGCTGATTTTAAGTACATCTCGCACACAACGCATATCGAGACGATCAGGGCAAGGTTCATTGAACAGTGTGTTTGACAGCTGTTTGTCTTATTCTTCCTTCTTCATAAAAATACCCCAAAGAAAAATGTGTGGTGCAGCTGTGCATCTTTCGGCACTTCAGAAGGTGAAGACAGAGTGATGGTGTTGACACAGCTGGTGGGAGCAAGTCCGCCTGGCATTGCTGTGTAGACGCAGTTATCACAGTGCCGTCGGTATAGATCTTATGTCGTCGGCAAAGATGGCAGGTTTCACCTTAACCGACAGTACGCTCAAGAATGACATGGACTAATAGATTGGGGATGTTGGTTTCTCTTTTCTAGTAAGATTTGTAAAACGCTAATAGTGTAAAAAGAAGGAAACCGATGTGTGTAAAAAAAAATAAATAAATAAATAAAAAATAAAAAATAAAAAAATAGAAACTGAATTTTTGTCATTGATGCATTGACAAACATGCAGGAGAGTCAAGTGTTTTCACAAAAAAAAGCTACCACTTATTTCACATCCCGGCCTATCTCACGTTGTTGTCACTTTGGTGCTGCTTTAGGCACTAAGCAGACAGGACAGAGACATAGGACACATTTCTTACATGTTGCTTCTTCTGAATTTGTTCTGGCTAGCTTGTAAGAAAAAAAAATTGGAAGAGTCAATATCAGGTCAAGAACAAACCTTTGTCAGGAGTTAAGAATAAGACTTTGAGGAGTTAAGATACTAGATAAGGATTCAACGTCGATGAATTAAAATTGAGGGTGAATTCCACATATTACAACATTCTGTTCTACTCTAGACATGCACCACTTTCAGGCACTTTGGTTACAGGAATACTGTACTAATATTCATCTCAATGACACATGAGACCCTCTTATTGGCCTGCATACTTGAGTTTGGCTTTGGTATCTGTAATTACGAGAGAGAAATGAAGGCCCAATTTGTGGTTCTGGCTGTTGAATAAGGAAAATAACTGACACATGAGTGTGCAGCAGCTGCAGAGCGAGCGACGATTCAAAGCCACTGGAGAACTTTGAAGAATGAAACAGATGAGGGAGATTCTTTGTCTTTGTCCCCCGTCTGTTGCACAGATATCACGGCCGACACCGCGCTATCCCTGGATGGCACCGGTCGCCTGGACTACGCCCTGAAGCAGGGCCCCAAGCGTGACGTCCTACTGAGGAGGTCGCTGCAGGGCAGGATCCCGGACCCCGTCGTTCCCAGCCGTCTGGAGGTCAAGTTCAGGACGCGTGGCAAGAGCGGCACATTGCTGCACGTGCAGGAGACCAGCAACTACACCACTGTTAAGGTAGGAGCGCAGACATTTTGTCATTTCGGCAAATAAATTCTACTCCCGCTTCGTTCTTGTTCAGCACTGTTAATGAATCATAACCGTTTCCACACATGACTTCCGTGGGAGCAGCAAACAGGCTCTTGCTTCAGTTAAACACCATCAAATTGATCCGACTTCTAAATAATGAAACGCAGCAGCTCTGGAATAAACTGTTTTCCAAGGGAAGTTAATGCCCCTGAAGTATTGAAAATGATCACGGAGGAAGTCTGGAGTTTGACTTATCAGCGCCAGGGAACAAAAGGAGCTATTAAGAAGGAAGGCTCAGTCAGCAAGATGTGAAAGTACACATCTTCAACATTATCTTGGCCTTTTTTAGGTGGATTATTAAGTCAAAAGGCATGTAAAAGACCCACTTTCCCCCTTCAGGTGGTAAGACGAAATGAAGACCAAGACTTTGAGATGTTAAGACGGAGACTGTTTTTAGGAGTCAAAACTTTGAGGTGTTGAGAACCAAATTAAGCCCAATACCTTGACGAGTTGAAACTACAACAAGTCTAAGGCTTTGGGGAGTTGAGGGGTACAACACTACAGTTTCCTGAAATAGACTTTGCAAGATCAAGACTTTGAGGAGTAAAGAGGAAGACTTCAATGATTTATGACCAATTTAAAACCAATGTCTGTGAGGAGTGAAGACCAACACTGATCCTTAAGTTAGTTAGGATGACATTCAAACTAAGATTTTGAGTTATACCTAATTCAAGACCAAAACTTGGACGACCTAAGGCTAAGTCAAGACCAATACTTGAGAAGTCAAAACCATGACCAAGATTTGGAGACCAAGTCAAAAGCAAAATTCAAGACCAGGACTCAGCATTTAAGTCAAGACCAAGAGTTTGAAGAGTTCAGTGTAGCATGGACACCACGACCAAGACCTTGAGTAGTTTAAACAACTAAACCCAGTTAATACCCAGTCAAACCAAGAATGCGAGGAGTAAAGACCAAGGCAAAACATCCTTTTCCCGTTTTATATGGTGGTGGTGCAATATGCTAACTGTGTCAGGATGTTGAACGGTGGTGTGAGTTTGGCAAAGACTTGATGTAATGATACATGGGCAAAACTCTGTCACCCTCCCTTAGCTGAGGAACGGCAACATCCACTACATCTCGGATGCAGGTGTGGGCGGCAAAGTGGAGCGAACCATGGGGGACATGGTGCTGTCTGATGGACTGTGGCACACCCTCATGCTGGTTAAGAATGGCTCCACCACCTTGATGCAAGTGGACAACAGCCACTCCCGCGTCATCCAGCTTCCCACACAGGATTTTGGAGGTCTCGGAGTCCTCACCATTTCGCTCGGAGGCATCCCACCTGGTCCCGCACAGCAAAAAACTGCGGCAGGTAAGGTTCGACACAGTTTGTTTGACTGCTGTTGTTGATGTAAACTATAGTGAACATGCAGACAAGTAAATGTTATAAAATTGTGCCATTGGAGGAATCCATCCCAAAAATCTGATCTCGCCATCAAATCAGAATAGGACACTTGAAACTGCAGTGTAAATCTTTCCTTATTGGGGTGTTTTTTTATTTTTATGGAGTATTACAGTGGAACTTGAAGCCCTTTGTTCATGAGTACACATAAGAACACCCAGTTCTAGCATGTTATGCAGCGTTTGTGTCAAGCCCAAAGAAATGAATTCATCATCTGTTGTTCCGATTGCCGTCCGTATTTGGTGGCCATCCAACAGGTTTATTTAAGTTTGACACCGCTGAGATTTACCTTCTGTGAATTAACAGGAGTTGAATACATGTTGCTTTATTAACTATCAAACACAGGGGTTGGAGAAAGAAAAAAAAAACAAATTATGATTTGATCTGACTTCTCCTCGGAGTGCTTTGCCTTTTTGGACATTCTGTGTTTTTGTCTTTGTTTCCTGTGTTTTCCACCGAAATCGTGGATCAGATGTCTTCGAGGTTGTCTTGAGGACATTAGGAAAAGGTGAAACAGAGTGTTTCCAGACAGTCATAACGCGGCATAGTAAATTTCCCATTTTTCAGGGGACAGAAAACAAATCGAGTGCCACAGACTAATACGGTAAAAATGATAAATCGTTGAAGGAGGGCATATTTCCCAGCATGCAGACAGACTGCCTGTCAACCAAATCTGACCCCAGCAGTGCAGTGCATCATCGGTGTTTAACGACCAAACACAAAATGGACTGAATGTGCACTGCAATTAATTTAATAATAAAAAAAGGCTTTATTAACATCACCGAGGTACTGTTGTTTGACAATACACAAAGCCAGAGATTAAATTACTTACAGACACACTCATCGAACACAGATGTTTGTCTGGAAGCTACAACAGCTCAGACAATATACTATCTGTTTTGGATAGAACGGTTTCCACTTTTCTTTATGTAAATCAGCAAGTTAAGCATATATTTGTTTTCGACCAATTAGCTGTCCAAACAGTATTCCTTTTGTTGTGAATAGAGCTCCCACTTCCTATTTACTGGAGATGAAGTGTGCTCACTTCCACCCCAGCAAATTACTCAATCAGTACAGTCTTCTCCAGGAAACTGTTGTGTCCTTCTAGCCCCTAATGGCTGTTTGTTTTTTCCGTTTTTTGTTGTCCACAGGTTTCGATGGGTGCCTGGCCTATGTGAAATATAATGGCGAGAACCTGCCTTTCACCGGCGAGCACGGCCTCGCTGTGTTAACGAAAACCAGTCCATCTGTCAAGATTGGTTGCAGAGGTCCAAACTTGTGCGAGAGCAGCCCATGCTGGGACGGCTTGATGTGCATCAACCAGTGGTACACGTACCAGTGTGTCCCACCTGGCGACTGTGCCTCCAGTCCCTGTCAGAACCACGGAAGCTGCGTGCCAGATCCCCGTTTGGGTTTCACCTGCGTCTGTTCCGAATTCTACACCGGAAAGACGTGCGAGACCCAAGTGGCCTGCCTGGGTGTCCAGTGCCCTCAAGGGACCATATGCAAGACGGCCAACAACGGCGGGTTTGTCTGCAGTCCAAATCCCGCAACGGAAGCCATGGTTCTCCCTATTTGGGCGGTCCCCGCTATCGTCGGTAGCTGTGCCACGGTGCTTGCCTTGGTTGTGCTAAGTCTCATCCTGTGCAATCACTGCAAGGATCGCAATAAAACCAAAGTGCCAAAGGATTCCAAGGAGAAGAAACCCAAGGAGAAGAAGAAAAAGAAGAAGGGCAGTGAGAACGTGGCTTTCGATGACCCAGACAACATCCCACCGTATGGAGACGATATGACGGTGCGCAAGCAGCCAGAAGGGAATCCGAAGCCGGATATCATTGAGAGGGAAAATCCGTATCTGATCTACGATGAATCTGACATCCCTCACACCAATGAAGCCGTTCCAAGTGCTCCCTGCGCCCCTTGTAACGACCCAGAGGCCGATATCGAGCACTACGACATTGATAACGCCAGCAGCATCGCACCATCGGACGCGGACATCATCCAGCATTACAAGCAGTTCCGAAGCCACACTCCCAAATTCTCCATCCAGAGGCACAGCCCGCTGGGTTTTGCAAGGCAGTCGCCCTTACCCCTGGGTGCCACCAGTTACTCCTACCAACCTCAATACACTCAAGCCTTACGATCCACTCCGCTCAGCCACGCACACTCAGCTTGCCCCACGCCGAACCATCTTTCCAGACAATCCCCGGCCCCATTCACCAAGCCCTCCACCTTTTACAGAAACACCCCGACCAGGGAGCTCAACCTTGCTCGCCGCGAGGGAAGCCCCCTGGATCTGCACAATGACATGTGCCAACCACCGCCCATGTTCAACTATGCCACCCGGCTGGGAAGGCGCAGCAAGAGTCCACAGACCATGGCCAGCCACGGCCACACGTCCCGCCCGGGGAGTCGGCTCAAGCAGCCAGTTGAGCAGATCCCTCTGGAGACAGGGCCCCCTGTGGGGCTCTCCATTGAGGAAGTGGAGCGACTGAACAATCCGCGTCCTCGCAACCCCAGCATCTGCAGCGCCGACCACGGGCGCTCCAGCTCCGAAGAGGACTGCCGCCGGCCTCTCTCACGGGTCCGCAACCCCGCTGACGGCATCCCCGCCCCAGAATCCTCGTCGGAGAGTGACTCACATGACTCCTTCACCTGCTCGGAGATGGAGTACGACCGTGAAAAACCCGTTTCTTATAGCTCCCGGGTACCCAAGCTCTCGCAAGTCAACGAGTCCGACGCGGATGACGAGGACTACGGCGGGAGGCTGAAGCAGAGGCGGTACTCGAGCCGTCGGGCGGAAGGGGGTCCTGGCATGGCCCAGTTGCCCCCCAATGAGCAGCACAATACCCTGCCTCACAAACTGGGCCCGCCAGCTGGGGCATTCAACTGGGACAATCTTTTGAGCTGGGGCCCCGGTTTTGGACATTACGTCGACGTATTCAAGGACTTAGCAATGCTTCCCGAAAATGCATCTGTACAGGACATTGAAATGAACAGTGGGGATGGGTCGGTCACCATTCTCAATGAAGGAGAAGCGGAACAATACGTATGAGACTATTTATTGTCACGTTGTAGATTATGGTGATGTTCTTAGAAAAGAACGGCGGACTATGCCGGTGTTGATTAATCGAAAAATAATGACGACGACTTTCAATGCAGTAAGGCAGAACCAACGGCACCTGAATTCACCTTGGAAAAGTTTGACCAGTCTCCGTCCAGCTGTCCCGTCATGTGTTGTTTGCACCCTTTGAAGAAGCCTGTGTCTGAATTCAATTGACCCCCATACATGTTATCTCGGTGAATCGTTTCTTTTCTTTATTATCGATGTTGCCTCTCCCTCGCAGCCCGAAAGATAAAACGGCAGATTAAATTAACACTCCCAGCTGTAGACCGAAACAAAACTCCTGTTCATACGTTGTCGGTCGAGTTTTAATACCACCGCAAAGGAAGCATGTGCTTTTTGAAGGGGGACCGCACCTGCAGACACTGCGTGAAATGAAGTACTCTGATGTAAATCACACCCCTTCTCCGCCTTGGGTTTTGTTTTCTCACAGAAAGCTGGCTAATTGCTCCAAGAGTGACAATGAATCAAGTCGCCCGCCTTACACACATTTGAGGATTGCAGCATGGGGAGAAATATGGTGTTGTTTTTTAATGCTTTTGGGTGTTATAGTTTGTTAAAATGCTTTGCCATTTTGTTTTTCAAGCCACATGATGACAACATATGGATCTTTTTTTCTGAAATGACCCAAACAGACAAACAGAGACTGTACTGTAAATGTTCACACAATTCAAACGTGGAGTCATTTGTCATTGGTGTCTTCGTCAATTATGTTGACATTATGGTGTAAGGTTGCTTCGTTTTTTTGTACGGTTTATTAACTTAATTTACTTAAGCTGTGTTTTTATGGATATTTTTTCATAATCCGAAATCTATGTTCTTACTTTCGGGGAAAGTAAGGGTTGAAGACCTATTTTTTACATCTGTTACATATGTAACGTCAGTATTTTCCACTTTTTTTTTTTATAAAACTATAACATGCTGTATGCTTTGTACTTGTAAAAAGCCAATAACAGAATAAAAAAAATATTTATTTCAAGCTGCTCGTTTATCTTGTTTCAAACAGTTTAGAAAAAGTCAGTGCAGTCAAGCGGTGTTTTTTTTTCCAAGTTTTCAAACTAGAAAAATGTTCCAAGGAAATGTTATTTTTTTCCATAACATTTCTAGAAAAAAATATTCTACGAGAGGAGTCGCAATATTTAATCAAATAAATTCAAGTCGTAATTTTATGGAAATAGTTACAAATTGTTAAAATAGGTGTACTCTGACAGTGAAAAGTTTTATGGGGGGGAAAAAAAATTCTGAGAATAATGCTGCAGTATGAGACACACTCGTAGGCCAACAACAAAAAAGAAGTGCTACGAGACCGTATTTATACGGTAATATTAAGAGAAGAGAAAAACTTACAGGCAAATAATCGAATAGCAGCTATCAAATTGACTGTATTTTGAAGTTGTATTATTTTTTTTTAAAAAAGGTCATTATTTTATGAGAAATGTTTTAATAATAACAAATAAAAGTGAACTTAGACAAGTGATACTGTGCCAACAGGAAGAGGAACATTACAATACGTCCAAACAATGGAACATTTTTTTCACATTATTTTTGTCTTAAAAATGACGAAGAATTGTGTAAATTATGAAACATTTTCTTTATTTAACTCTTAATTGACTTTTGAATAGCACTGAGTCTATGCAAATGGGCAACTTGATCAAAACCGAAGGTAGAGCTCCCATTTTTGGCAACATGTCGAGGTCTCAAGCACAGTTCTAAACACACCAAAATTGAACATGGTCCGAAAAGCAATGTGATCTGTGTTTTGAGCACCTAAAAAAAAAAAAACCCTCAAAAGCCACGCAGACCACACGATGTGACGATCTCATCAGCTGATGCGCTTTGCAGATTTTACAACCTGCAATGGAAGGTGCGACCGAGGCGCCCTTCATCTTCCCATGGAGCTCACGCAGTGTTTCCGCACAAAGCCGCAAAATGTCATCAAACATCAAATCCCCATTCAAATTACTTCCATGTTGACTTTAGGAGTATTTATGAAAGGATGTGGCACAGATCTGCTGATATTGGCCCCTCAGAATAAATAGTTCCTCCGCCAACCCCCCTCCAGAGAAATGCTTACGAAGATTGATGATTACGAGCTACAGTTGTAGCCTCCTTTCGTCTGCATTTATTCAGACATCCTTTAATGTAACTCTGACTGAGAAGCAACGTTGACGCATTTGACTATATAAGTCCAAGGATAGCACATATACTGTACAAACTTTGACTTGAACTGTCCAGAGGAATGACGAGGAAATCAAAGGCAGTCAGTTTGTCTGTCATTGTACGGATTTATAATCAAATTGCGTCGAATCTGTCCGGAATCAAAGCTTGGATGCAGCGCTGAAAAACGGCCGCCTTATAATATATTTAAGTCAGTTCAGCCTCCTCGGTCTAAAGCGTACTACAGCTGCTGTTTTTTTTCAGCTGACATACTCTGTGTGTCCATCGAATGTGATGAACAAAAGGGTATGTGGAAAAACTAACTTTACTCATTACTTGACTTTTAAAGTAACTAAGAGAACAAGTTATTGAACTACTTACATTGAACAATTGCCAATACATCATTGGTTGTGGATTATTAACAGCGACGTCGACAAATAACATTTGTTTTCATAAAAAATAAAATAAAGACACTTATCTTTTGGCTTGATTGTGCTACAATCCATGTGTTTTGTTTTTTTATTTATTTAGTTTGACATAGCTGTAGTGGGGCGGCCCGGGGGTCCAGTGGTTAGTGCGTTGACCTCACAGTGCAAAGGTGCAGCATTCGATTCCGGCTCCGGCCTCCCTGTGTGGAGTTTGCATGTTCTCCCCGTGCCCGCGTGGGTTTTCTCCGGTTTCTCCAGTTTCCTTCCACATTCCAAAAACATGCATGGCAGGTTAATGGAACACTCGAAATTGTCTCTCGTTGTGAGCGCGAGTGGTTGTATGTCTCTGCGTGCCCTGCGATTGGCTGGCATCTGGTTCAGGGTGGCCCCCGTGTACAGCTGGGATAGGCTTCAGTACGTCCCGCAACCGCTGTGAGGATTAAGCGTGTGTGGATTTGAACCTGGACAACACTTTGTCAACAGCAGAAAGTGCAATGTACTTTCATATTATCTTTAGCTGACAAACTCAAAATAGTGACTGGATTTCCAGCTTGAAAAAGTGAATCTCCTTTTCCGTTCTTCTGTTTCATGCAAAATGTGACATGGCGCATAAGTGCCATCACTCTCCCAGGCAGGAATGTGAATTGTAAAGTCCCAGCTGTCAACATTGTATTTCCCTTTCTTGTGTTCTATAATGTAAGTTGATTGCTATGTGTATTTCATCAAGGAATGCGCTCTCCTCCCATATTTTTATTTGTTAAATAATTAGTTTTCTTCCACATACATAAACACCATGAATGAAAAACATGTCAAGAGGCAGTTCGCAGCACTACCACTTGATAGTGAATTGTAAGTGACCGTTTTATGTAAGGTGCTTGTCATCATTGTTAATCGCTATGCAGTAATGAATGAAAAAAATCTGAGCGTGCAAAATTACTGAAGTCAGATTCATTCGCTGAGAAAAGTCATGCGTCGTTACTGTAAAAATGTGTATGTTACAGGAACAAATTCCTTTTTAACACCCTACCGGCATCACTAATTGAGAATTTGTTCAATCATAAGAGTAGCAATCACTCTTTGCAGATTGTGCTCAGTGGCCAGGGTTATTTTTTTTTTACCTATACATATTTTATGTAATTGTTTTCCTGCAATTAATAGTGATATTGTATTGATTGTATTGAGTATGTATAAAGTAATAGATCAACGGACTCAATAAATTGTCACAAAATAAAGTCCAGACCCCAATGAAGTTGATTTCACAGTTAATAAATGGAAAAATATTTTAAATAGCAGAATAAGTACAGTGATCCCTCGCTACTTCGCAGTTCGTTTATCGCGGGTTCAGTGCATCGCGGATTTTTTCAAACATATATAAAAAAAATAAAAAAAAAATTTTTTTTTTTTTACCTGTTTATGTTTTTTTTTTTTTACCTGTTTATGTAAATTGGACGCTACTTCGCGGATTTTCGTTTATCGCGGGTGGTTTTGGTCCCCATTACCCGCGATTAACGAGGGATTACTGTACATTGAATTAACTGACAGGTTAAAAAAAACATACATCTTGAACGTGAGACACTTCTTGTGTACTGCAAATGGCTACCAGTTTGACACACACATCTTAAATTAAAAAATGCCCAAGTGGCCTTTAAATGTGTTACAATTAATTGATGATGATTGTCAATGTGGAGAACACCAATCATACATACATGTCAGTATAACACACCATTTCTAGAAATCTCTGCAAGTGTTTACATTTCCAAATGCTTATTTCTACAGCAATTATAGGAAATCCCAATGTCCCAACACTGCTGAGATGGTCCACGGGCTTCTCATGAGGTTCTTGGGGGCGACCTGATTGGGTGACCATATATATGGTGTAATCATTTCATTTTATCATCAATCATTCCTGCCAGGTTAATGTTAAGACACTTCCGCTTGAAAACCTTTAAAGGGCAGCTTTACAGATGCCACATCTGCTCTTCAGACTGTGCGTGTTGTGGTTAGCAACACGTGGACACTATTAGGTTGAGTAAAAATATTAACAGCACCCCGACTATTAATTGGGGCACGGTGTATATTACAGATTTGAGGAAATAAAATATATACACTTAAAACAGTGTTTTTCAACCCGTGTGCCGCGAGACATTGTCAGGTGTGCCGCGGGAAAATATCCATTTTGTATGCCTGTGCGGTCTTTTGCCCAGAAAGTGATCATGTAGTACCCTCCCGTACCGCTAGGGAGCAGCAACAGCTAGCCAATTGCCTTGTGTTTCGACGAGAGACAAGCGAATTAGTGACGCATGAATGCAGGACGACGGTGAAACAATAAATATGAAAGATGATAACATACTGTTTTCTTTGTGTTCATTTGTTAATTTGACTCCAATTCAAGCTGTTATAACATCATTCTTCAATGTTAAAAATGGTTATAGTAACAATATAACACGTTAATTGTTGAAATAAGCGGTGGGGGGGGGGGGGGGGGCCCAATTTCGCTTAGG